TGTTGTTATAGGTAAACGAGTTCTAAAAGTTTTTTTTCTTTTCTTTCGATGGAATGTTTCATGCTGATTGCTGCTACTTTTAACAAATGATATTGTTATGGTCCAAGGTTAGGACCATGGAAGAACAACACGAAACACAAGAGTAGAAATAACAAAGAATATATTACACAAAAAATAATACATGAAGTGGAAGGTGTTAGTATGGCTGTCAGACTGGTTTGGAGTGAACTACTATCAGCTCGACTCGATTCAATACTGTCCGTCTCTCTTGAGAGGCATAATATACATAGTGTTAGGAAGAGTTCATTCTGTAGTTATAGGTAAGGACCCATGATGTCCCCAAGTTTTTACTTCACAGGGGTCTTTAATATTTTTTCCTCTTTGGATTAATCATCAAAGGCTCTGTAAATTTTCTTTTTCTGCTTGATTTCCGCGGTTCTGAAATTGCTTGAGGCCTTTGCATATTGAAGGTGTCAAATATTGTGTCCATTACTTGCTCCTCTTCCTGAGGTAGACTGTTAGAATCATCTAGCAGCCCATTTCTGATCTGATTTATGTGCCTTTTATGTGAGAACTTCGGACCCTGAATTATGTAAATCATATTCCCGATTCGTTTCTCTATTGTACCTGGCTCCCAATAGGATGTATTGTTTTTGAACATTTTAAAAAACTTTCTCCCCTGGGCTAAATTTTCTTTTTGGTACAAACGACGTTGGTGATTGCTTTGTCTGTTTTGGCAGTAATTTGTCGAATACCGATCTAATTTTTTGGGCGAACATTAATTCCGCCGGTGATAATGCCAATGGCGTAGTACTGTTCAGTGTAATTCTATGCACTTGCAAGAATCGTTGTAAAGCCTTTACTGTTGGTACGTCATAAGCTTTCTTTAGAGCTCTTTTTAATGTATCTACAAACCTCTCCGCTTGTCCGTTCGACCTTGGGTGATATGGCGGAGATTTAATGTGTTTCACCTGAAAAGTTTCACAAAACTGCAGATGTAAATTTTGTCTCATTATTGGTGGCTAAACAAGCAAACAGTTCATGAAGGCAATTTATTGTTGTCTCAGAAAGTAGGTTTTCTACAACGAAATACTTCTGGCCATTTGTTGTAACTGTCTACTACAATCAAGTAGTAGAAACCCTCTAATGGACCTGTGAAATCTATATGGATTCTTGACCACGGTTGATCTGTCTTAGGCCATGGCTTATGAATGATCGGAGGTGCCTTGCCTGCTAAGGAACAGCCCTTGCATTTGTCCACCATATGTATAATACCTTGATCCATGTTTGACCAGTACACATAACTTCACATTAAGGATTTCATCCTGTTCTTTTCTGGATGGCCCATGTGGAAATCCTTGAGGATTCGCCTTTGTAGCATTTTTGGGATTACTACTCTTTCATTATATAGCAGAACATTATCACATAATGAAAAACTGTCTGCAATATACTTATCTTTTCCTGCAATTTTTGTTTTCGTTTCCTTTATAAATTCGTCATTCACTGCTTCGTTTCTTATTTCCTGTAATGTGACGGGGAGGTTTCGAATTGTACTACATAATGTTCTAATATCTTCCTCATATCGTAGCGCTGCAATTACGAAATCTTCTAATGGCTCCGTTTTCTTTGGTATTAGTCTTGAAAGACCATCTGCATGCCCGATTTTGTTTGATGGAAGATACTCCAATTTGAAATTATAGTTTAATAAAATCGTACCCCATCTTAGTAATCTATTAGCAGTGTAGACAGGTAGACCATTCTTTGATCTAAATATTGTTAGTAATGGTTTGTGATCTGTCTGTAAGGTGAAAAATCTACCGTAAATATATCTGTGGAATCTCGCAACTGCAAAAATTATTCCTAGCGCTTCTTTTTTGATTTGTGAGTAATTTTGTTCGGCTGGTAGTAAAGTTTTTGACATATGCGCGATGGGTTTTAGTGTCCCATCCGGCATTTTATGTAGTATACATGCCCTAACACCATAGGCACTCGTGTCACTCACGACTATTATTTCCAATTTAGGATCACAATGTGCTAAAAATAAATCTGCTATTAGAGTCTTAATGATTTTGTCGAAAGTTTTCTGACATTTATCTGACCATTCCCAAACTTTTTCCTTCTTCAACATTTCGTTTAGGGGTGTGTGTGATTTTTGCATGTTAGAAATAAATTCTTGATAATAATTTACTAAGCCTAAGAAGCTTTGTAACTTGGCTAAATGTTTTGGAGTTGGCATTTTTTTTATTGCCATGGCTCTTTCCGGGTCTGGTCTTCTTCCTTCGTCAATAATATGGCCCAGATATTTTATCTCCTTCATAAAGAAGTCACATTTATTTTCTTTTACCATAAAACCATAATTTCGTATCTGCCTGAAAACCTCTTGAACGTGTTCCCAGTGTTGTTCAATATTTTTGCTATTTAGCAGGATGTCATCAAGGTATGCGATCATAAAATCCAGTCTGCCTAGCATAGTGTCCATTATTTGCTGAAATATCACCGGCGCAACCTTGATCCCGAATGGTAATCTCTGGAACTTATATAATCCTTTATGTGTATTTATGCACAACAACCTCAAGCTTTCCTCATCTACTGGTACCTGTAGGTATGCTTCGCTCAAGTCTATTTTTGAGAAAAATTTTCCTCCGTTCAACTTTGTGAAAACTTCCTCTGGACTAGGGAGAGGATAGTGATAATCCTTAATCACTGCATTCAATCCCATCGAGAAATCAGCGCATACTCGTATCTCACCCAATTTCTTTTTCATGTAAACCGTTGGTGCGGCCGATTGACTATATTCCACCTTTGTCAATATACCGATTTTCATGAGTCTATCCAACTCTTCGTCTATCTTTTCCAATGATGGGAAAGGTACATTTCTTTTCTTCTTGAAAATGGGTGGTATATTTTCTTTTAGTTCGATTTTTGCTGCCATTTTTTTACACCTCCCGAGGCCGGCTGAAAATACGTCGGGGAAACTCTCTATTAATTTCTCTGCCTCGGTCGATAATCTTTCCACTTTTTGGCAGAACGCATTTATTGGTAAATCCTAGAGGTCAAATTTCTGCATCCAGTCAGTTCCAAATAAATTTTCCATATTTCTTAGAACATAAATCTTTAATTTTTTGGTCATTCCATTGAACATCACATTAAACAAACCAACCCTGTTGAGAACAGATAAGATAGCCAGGTTGGTAACAGGAAGAAAAATCAAATTTGAGGGCGAGATTATCACAAATGTGATGTTCAATGGAATGATCAAAAAATTAAAGATGTATGTTCTAAGAAATATGGAAAATTTATTTGGAACTGACTGGAGTGTTTTTTTTTGTTTTTTTTTTTAATATCCTCCGCGTAGAATTCGTTTCTTCAATATCCTCATTGCCACTGTTATGGTCCAAGGTTAGGACCATGGAAGAACAACATGAAACACAAGAGTAGAAATAACAAAGAATATATTACACAAGAAATAATACAAGAAGTGGAAGGTGTTAGTATGGCTGTCAGACTGGTTTGGAGTGAACTACTATCAGCTCAACTCGATTCAATACCGTCCGTCTCTCTTGAGAGGCATAGTATACATAGTGTTAGGAAGAGTTCATTCTGTCGATTTTGGTAAGGACCCATGACAGATATGTTGACAAATGACCAAAAAAAGAGGTCTAAGAAACTGTTTGAAAATCCTCTGCCTGTTAAAATAAAATTCATTCAGAGTCATAAAATCAGAAAAATAATATAATTTGAATAAAATCCTATCGCGTAATCTGACAGACTGACTCAATACTGACCACAACTAAAAAGCATTTATCTAAACTTAATATAAAATTTGTCACAGTTATTAAAAAAACAATAAGTGATTGAATTAATACAAAAAATAGCAGCCTAAAACCTGAAGCAGGAATTTACACTATAGGCTGTAATAAATGTCACAAGAAATACACAGGTGAAACTTTTAGAAATTTAAATAACGTAATATATAAACATAAAAGGATCTTTTACAAAACAAAACATTCAATGCATTAATTGTTCATTGTAATAAGTTGGACCATAATTTCGACTTAAATAATGCAAGGAGAAAGCAATTTATTAAGCCAAAATATATAGAAAGTGCACTAATTTCTGAGTTTTCCACAATAAATTTGCATCCAGGATCATACGACAGATCAACTTAATAAAATTACTGCTATTAGAATGAGAGATTTTTTTTTAATTCACCTCAAACAAGGTGATGACACCACTAAGATGCAAGGTGCTAATGGGAGTGAAAGAGAATAAAAAAGACTTTAGAAGGAATCAAAAACCCAATCATAAACAGAAACAAGGAATAAATCTCTACTTCTGTTCAAAAGACCGGGGAGGAATGTGACTGGATAAAATACAACAAGAAAAATAGAAAAAACAAAAAACAAAAAAAAAGAGTAGAAAACTGAATACAGTCAATTAGGTAGTGGATCTAAATACCTCAGATGCCAAAAATTTAAAGTTAAGAATTCACCCATTTTTAGCATTTCTCTCGATGTATAACTATAATAAACATTTGTTATATTTCGTTCCATTCCTTTTACATATACAGAATTCCATCAGTAAAAAGATTTAGTCTGAAGATTCTCTCTAAAGAAAACTACCTGCAGAGCCATATATCTGATTTGTGTAACAAGGTCTGAAGAGTTAGGGATTAAATTTTTTGACTTTAAGAAAAATAAATATCACTTCAGTGTCTTTTAAGAGTTCATTTTCTTTATAATAATAATTATTATTGCCCTGTTTTTGACATAAAGCTCTACCTGGATCTATATCCTTTTGTAAATATCCATACCAATTACTAATATTATCATTATATATATACATACACTGATTCAATTGGGGATACTCACATTCAAGGATAAATAAATTATTATTATTATAAAATCCAGTTTCTTTTCTTAAATTGGACAATTTTTGTAGATTATTTCAAAATACTGAAAGATATTTGGTTTAAATTTACAGAGATTATCATAGTCAGTTTAGAAATTCTCAAAATGGTGTTTAAACAGAGCTTTGGTTGATTTGCTGGCATCATTACATGCAGCTTCCACACTTTTTGTCATTCCAGGAGGTCCACAGCTGAATACACCAACTGTCCGCACCTGGAGGTGAGAAAAGAAAAAGAAACTATTTTACATTGACAATTAATTAAACAAAATGGTAGGGGTTGCTCTAAAGTCCGTCTGAAGTCGAATTTGCTTTGAAGAATTTTTGTCAAATTTTAAACAATTTAGACATCAAAACAAAGGAGTTTTCAGGTATAAAATCACTTTTTATTTCAATAACAAGGTAATAAAATTATCAATGATTATTCAACACCTATAAATAGAATAACAAATATATGTGATAAAGCATTTGAAGCAATTACCTCTTAATATAGTGATACTTCTTCTAAATAAAAGCCAGCAATCTATTATCCATTGATGTTGTTAAATATTTTATTTCAGCATGTTCAATTTCTGACATGGTTTTAATTGCTTCCTATAAGTTTGCCACCTTCCAATAATTCATTTTCACAATTAACCATAGATTTTCAATCAGATACAGATCTAGACTTGAGGGTGGCCATTCCATTATCTTATTTCCTGTAAACATTTTATGCTCAAAATATTTATGGGCAATTCACATAAGAAGCATTGTTGCGCATAAATAAACACTTTATTTTAAAACTTGAATTTGTACCATTCAAAGAAAGTCTTTTCCATGAAATTGCAATATTTTCAGTTTAACTCCTTCATCGACTTTGAATGGTTCAATAATGGTTTGGTCAACAATTCCAACCCATATCATCATACGAAAACTCCATTAGATAAAATCCAAATTTAGATCCAGCAAGTGTCACCTGATATTTGTCCATGAAAGTTACTTTTTAAAAGTCAATTTTCATGTATTTCTTGACCCAATTTTTATATTTAAAATATTTATTTTATGGAGAGGTGTTTGCCAAGGAGATTTCTTGACAGATCCTAATTTGCAATGTATTCTACACCTCTTGTACTTCTTGACTCCCTCAACTCCAGCCTATTCAAAGATATGAGCACTGGTTATAAGTAGCTGATTTGCTGGAACTCACTTTAGTTTACATTCCCTTTGAGGAGAAAAGTTCTTAAAGTATTTCCTTTGCTTCTTGTTCTCAACTGAGTTATATTTTCATTTGATGATCTCTATGAAGCTCCTTTGATACCTCCAATGTGAACGTTCCCTCATTCAACAATTCTATTATTTTCTCTTTTTCAACACTTTCTTTGGATCTTTTCCATTAACCAAAATTAAACATATATTATGGAGAAAAAAAAAACAGTTTTTATTAGATTTCAAATTTTTTTCACCTTGGTCCCCAAGGGGATGGTTGAAGTAATCCAGTGACTTCACCCATCAAAGAGTTATGAGTTCAATACCTGGCCACAGCAGAGGTGAACCAAAACTTGGAGAGTTGACTTACTAAAGGGAGATAACTGAAACTGAACTATCCAGAAGAGACATGGCATGTTGAACTAGAATGATTTACTCCAGTGGACAAAATAAAGTGTTCAGTTTGAAGTTTCAATCATCTGAAAAAGGCCAGAGCACGTAATGGCTGAAATGTTGTGAATATGACAACAAAGATGAAGACAACAGTCTGAACGATGTAAATAGTATAAATAGTTACAATATCTCATCTCAGAAATACAGACAGAATTCATTTGTAATAATGATAATAGGCAAAATCATTGAAGGAACACTTCCAGAAGCGTGTGATTTTCAGAAAAAAAAAAAAAAACAATGCTTAATAATATTTTGACAATATGTCAGTCTTCAAGTTATAGAAAAAATGAGGTTGTCTACAAGTATTAAAATAAATCTTTGTACAAATGTCACTTGTCTTGTGAAAAACAATTTTACTGATAATCAATGTTGCAAAGTGAGTGAAACATAGCTAGCGTGAATGGAATGCAAGTGAAATTCAACTAACACAATGAGGAGTGTGTTCATCTTTAAATTCTCTGTCAGTTGGTTAGTAATAGTGATTAATAAAACAGTTTAGTGTAAATCTTGTGGAACTCCTGTGTCACTTTGTTCATTCCTCTGAGATGGAATATTAGTAATTTGCATTGTGTCCATCTGGAAACATCATCCTAATAATAAAGATTGTGCAGGGTGTTCCAAAAATTTGAAATCATTTTGCAGGCCAATAATTTTGGCAGTTCTTGTTGAAATAACATCAAATTTTTACAGAATGCATAGAAACAGATCAAGATTTTATATTTAATGTTTTATTTTTGTTCTGTTTTCAGGTTGAGCCATGCCATTCACTTCCAAAGAAAATAGATAGGCTCACAGGGAGGAAGTGCGAGAAAAGAAACTGTCGGTGTGGAAGTGGCAGTTGCATTTAATTATTTCAACAGTAAAAGAGTGGGACCTAGATGCCAGTAGGGTAGCACACTTAAATTCATGTAGTCAGGGCACCAGAGAAAAAGCTCATCAGAGCAGTTGCCATGAAAATATTTGTAGAAAAGATAGAGAGAAGCCACACCATGTTGGTGATAAAGTGACTGAAGTTGAGATGCCAAGTCAAGATTGATTACATTACAGATCCTTCTTTGAATTTTGTCAAGCTGTGAATTGAATAAAGGGTTCAAAATTTTATGAAGGTTACTTGAATCAACAAATATCTGAAGAATGGGGGGGGGCACAATAGCTGAAATATTATAATAACAATGACAAGGATATTAGTCCAAATGTAAATAAAATCTGTTCTATTTCCTTTCATCCATAGCCATCTCATGACAGTTTTCACTTTCCTCTTTTTAATCTCTTAAAAGCTCCTAGTATATTTTCATGATATGAGGTATAGTTAGAATGTTTTCTATTTAAGTTTCTATGTGAAATTGAAAAAATGAAATTAAGATTTTAGAAGAAAAAAGAGAAAAAAGAAAAAAGAGAAAAGAAAGAGAAAAGAAAAAAGAAAAAGAAAGAGAAAAGAAAAGAAAAAACAAGAAGAAAACTCACATATGGATTTTCTTGATGGATAGACTTCATCATGGCACCAAGTGTAAATTTTACTAAAAAAAAAAAAAAAACGGAGGGAAAAGAAAAGAGAAAAGAAGTAAGAGAAAAAGAGAAAAGAAGAAAGAGAGAAAGGAAAAAGAGAAAAGAAAAAAGAAGAAAAAAAGAAAAAAAAAACGAGAAGAAACTCACATATGGATTTTCTTGATGGATAGACTTCATCATGACACCAAGTTGTGGACGACCAAAATGTGTTTTGGCTTTCAGGCCAGTAAATACACTTCGACCACCAAAATGCTTTTGGAAGTATTCTTCACAGATGTACTAGAAAGTAAAAAGAAACTTGCACATTTAAACATCAGAAATGTATTTTTATAGTTTGATAAAGTTATAACAATGTTAAAAGTGCATAAGAAATATAGAAAAATGAAAAAAAGATGACAGTTTTGGACTTAACACTTTTATAAGTAACTAGCAGTATCCATGAAAAATTCTTTCTTTTTCTTACTGAAACCAAACAGCATCACTGATGTGTCTTTTCCATCTTTCTATGTGATCAAAATGGAGCAGTCTATTATTTATGAGGTATTGCCAGGATATTTCTTTCTTTTCTTTTTCTCACTGAAACCAAACAGCATCTCTGATGTCTTTTCTGTCTTTTCATGTGATGAAAAGAGAAAAGTTCATTATTTATTAGGTATTAGCAGGGTATAATGGCCATCCTAACTAAGGGAAGGACAAGCAAAATTATAATAAAACTAGCTTATTAATGGCATTTAAGCTAGCTCCTGCAGAGGGCTCTTGATTGGAACTTTATCACAATAGGTAGGGAGGAGATGTGATAAGTAACAATAAACTACAGAAGAACTCAAAATTGATCGCTGAATTTAAGTATTCCTTTTTAAAAGTTCAACGATAATTCTTCTACCACCACTTAACTTAAAGACAGTTTGATGTATGTAGGTCCTTACTTTCGATAGAAACAATTATTTTTATTTTATGGGTGACTTCCGCTGGACTTTGTAAGTAATTTTGATTATTCCTAAATTTATTTCCAAGTTATAAAAATTGTTATCATACAAAAAAATTTGTTGCAAAAAATCACATAATTGCCAAAAACAATTGCAATAATGAAAACTTGGGAATCCCAAATTTCAGAATTGCATGTTTGGATCCAGATTCAGCCCCAAATATTTGTAATTTGCTCATGACATTCTCATTTATTATATAGATGATTCAAAGTTTAAATTAACCTTTAAAAAAATGTTTTGCTTATTTCTCAAGTCAGTCTAATTAATTAATATGCAAATATTAAACATTTCTTAAAGCAATTCTCAAAACATTTTTATATTTTGAAAGTACTTTTGTTATTTGTTGAAATTTAATAAGTATCCAGTATCCTTTATTGACACTATAATATAAAGTTGGCCCTATTTAGATTCCTTCAAAGGAATGTCATAACATCAAGATATGAGATCATCAACACGGCCAAGAAAAAGAAATCCAATAGATTTTATGATTGTTAAAAATACAGATATGATGAGAGAAGTTAAAATTCATGATTTCTTCAGGATAGCTGATGAAACCTACTCAAGATATTTCATCACTTCCTGTGAATCCTTATATAAAAGAATATATTTTCTGAATGAAAATCTTACAACTGAACATTGGTTTCCTGACATTTTTTTGTGCCTAATCTACTCATAAATAATAAATGATTCTCCTTCCTTGAGTTTTAATCCTGTCTTGTCATTTCTTGTCATTGCCTTTGTCCTAATGAATAATGATGTTTGGGATAAAAGATTCTGCTCCAAATACTGCACTTTTTATATCAACCTCTTAATATTTTTTAAATATCTGATTATCATGTCACATTTTATTGAGCAACTTAATTCCTGGGTGGAGGATGGAAATTCCGACTAGTTTTGCTGGTATCTTAAATCAGTTCTTAAAAGAAAGGTTTTGTAACTCCTGCTTAAGTCAGGATCTCTGCAAGCTTTTTGAGGTTTTCTCTGACCTATTTCTCTTTAAGGTCATCACACTAATTGCACAATTCAAAGAATTGAGTAAAATACTGAAAAACTGTAATGATTGACTAACAAAGAAACTGATATTTGAAAACAAGAAAACCTTGTAACCTAAAACAGGAAAACCTTGTAACCAAACACAAAAAAACCTTGTAACCAAACATAAGAAAACCATGTAACCAAACACAAGAAAACCATTGTAACCAAACACAAGAAAACCATTGTAACAGAGAAATAAAAATCAGCAATGCTAGTATGGTTCTGAATCAAGGGTTGACAAAGTTATTTTGGTAGGGAGAAAGCCACAAGTTAAACCAAAGAATTTAAAATAGCATACAACATATTGAAGTGTAGGTAGCTTAACAGTTAACACTATGGAAAATGAAATTGGCAAGCAGAGTTCAAATTCCTATCAAGACAGCTTGTATTCATTTTATATTCATGCTTTTGAGAACCCCCTAAACTATGGGTAAAATAAAATGACTTGGTTAATACCAGTCTAGGAGAAAAAACAAAAGCTGATAGGTTGGGTGTGAGTCTAATAAATCTTAAAATTCCCTGTCCATTCAGAATGCAGGCAATCATGGCTCTCTATAAATTCCTTTACTTTACTATCCATGAATTGCCATGCCTTTTTGGGAAAGGTAGTGGAATAGTTTCCTGTTGCTTTCTCCATGGTTTAGAATTTAGTTTTCTTTCTCTTAGACTGGCTGATAATCAAGGCTAGAAAATCTGTGGAAAGTTGAGGGAGGGGTGAAAATTTGGCTGTGTAAAAATATTCAACTCATCCCCAAAGAAAAAGGAAAGAAAAGGAACAAAAGGAAGAAAAGGAAATTTTTTATATTTCTGAAATTTGTGAAGGTGTTTTACAAAAATTATTTTTCCTTTTTTTTTTTTTCAGTTCACTTTCTTCCAATGAAGTGAGTTTTTGTATGACAGGAAATAGAGTAAACACACACGGATTTCTTACTACTTCAACTCAGACTTTTACTCCAACTACAGATTATCACACAGACTGCCTACTTTACTTTCTTTTAGACTGGTTAATAATCAAGGCTAGAGAATCTGTGGAAAATTGAGGAGGGGGGGTATTTGGCTGTGTAAAAATCTTCAACTCATCCACAAAGAAAAAAAAAAGGAAAAGAAGAAAGCAGCTAAAGTGTAGATACAAAATGTTTATATTTTAGAAATTGTTGAGGTGATTTTAGAAAAATTCCCTTTCTGAGTCCAGTTGCTTAATGACAGGAAATAGACTAGATACAGGAAGTTTTCCTCCAACTTCTATTACTACTTTGGCTCAGTCTGTTACTTAGACTGGTTACTTCATATGTTGTCCTTTTATATTATACAGGTGTATTTATATGTATACATATATATGTTTATATATAATATGTATATACCTATCACTGTTTGCGTATATATGTATGTATTACAGTCTGTTCATATCTATCTTTTCCTCTATATCTATCTATATGTCAGACTATGTCTTTAATCATTTATATCTCTGTATCATGCTGTCTATTTTAATAGGCTTTATATATATATATATATATATATATAATGTGTATATATCTATCTATCACTGCATATATATGTATCTATCACAATCTGTGTGTATATGTATCTATTACAGTCTGATTATTATTATCTATCACAGCAGTGAACACAAGAATATGAGCAAATTTTTAACAGGAAACTGCTTGGCTGTATTTGAAGGTGTTTTATTTGAAGTGTATAATATTTCTAATAATTTAATACATGCTTAAAAGCTGAAACTTTGCACAATAAGAATTTGATATATGTTTTAAATGCTAAATAAATTATAAGTTGATTAAAGCTTATTTTAATTTGGTATTCACTCAGAAGTGATATTGTATAAATAATTTTCAATAAAAAGATGTTCAATTAACTAACATGTTCTGATAATGTTTCTGCTATAATTTAAGCCAAATTTGTTCCAATTTTACTGATTCTTAATTTATATGGATTTTTAAAGTTTTTTTTTCACAAACACTATAAATGTTTGTAACAAACAGTAAATCAAAAATATTAAAAATAATAAAGAATTTGAAAAGGAAAAGGAAGCTGATAAAATCCAAATCAAAAATTTTTATATTCCAAAAATTGTTTTTCTTTTTTTTTTTTTGGTTCACTTTCTTTTTATGAAGAGAGATTTTGGATGAAATGAAAGAGAGTAAACACAGACGGATTTCTTACTACTTCAACTTGGACTTTTACCCCAATTGCAGGCTATCACACTGATTGCTACTTGATATGTTATCTTTTTCTTTATACCTGATGCATGGATTTAGTAGTAGTAGATAAAAATGCATGCAAATATTTAACAGAAAAATGCTCAGCTCCATTTTAAAGTATGTTACCTGAAGTGCATAACATTTCTAATAACTTAATACATACTTTGCAGATTAATAATTTGATATTTTTTAAAAATGCTGTGTAACTTTTTTCTTTCTCTGTCAATTATAATTAAATTTTCTTTTAAAATGGTATCCATTCAGAAGGAATATTGTATATTATTAATAATTTTCAATAAAAAGAGGTTTTAATTTTATCTGAAACTGATTAATTAATTGAATATGTTCTAATAATGTATCTGCTATAATTTGGGTCTGTCTAATTTGATCATTTTACCGATTCTTAATTTATATGGTTTTTAAAAGTTTTTCTTCTCAAACATAGATCAGTCAGTTGTGTGCAATGTATGATACATGCTTAGCAATCATGTATCTTTCAATACATGACTGATGAGGCAGATTTTTTCCCACAGTAGGTTGCCATTTTTTTCTGTGGTAGACCAGTTGCAATCCCAGGCTATAAAACCCAGTCTGTCCTGCTATTTACCCATAGCTGGGGGGAGAGGGAGAAGAAGAGGATTCATACCTTTCCCAAGGGTATCAGCACATAAGTGAATGTAATTTGACTGTAATTTGAACTCGGCTCTCCAATTCCTCAATAGGAGCCACTATCCATTACTCCACCATGCCTTTGTTGAAGCAGAATCAGGATTAATCTCACACAAAGCAAAGTGGGTCCTTCATGACAGAGAAAATCTCTTTTCATAAAAATTTGAGGCAAGGTTTTACAAGACCAGACACTCTTCCTGACATGCAGTGCAGACATTTATGGTAGTCCAAGTGCACCAAGTGTTTTTATTGAGAAACCATCTCCATGCCTTATATAAACAGTACTTATACAGAGTGTGATGGGTAAATTGTTACCATTTTATATTTTTAATTTCATGCATGTCTGTTGTTTGTGTTTGATTTTGTCAACTGA